AGCCATCCCCGAAGCTGGCGTGTGGACTCGATGGTTTGAGTTGGCGTACAATGGAACATGATTGAGTCTTGTTCAGATTTACGGGAATCGAGAAGCTGTTTGCTATTTACAACCCAAAGCTGAGATCGGGAGAAAACTGTAGACTGCTATTTCTACCAGACTTCTCAATATACCAGGGGCCAGCTTTGCAACCTTCATTCACCGTGTACATCTCGGGACGAGCATGTACCTAAGAAGGGGCAGTGTTGCAGACCCGTGTGGACTCGACCTAACCTAACTATAAGTATGCCCTCAGATGAATGTTAACAGTCGCATTAAAGAATATCGACACCGTGGCTGATTCATTCCGGAGACGAAAGATCGAGTCCCACTGGAATGTGGTAGTACATACGAGAACATTCGAAACCTTCTCTATGCCTAACGCGTTGCCAAATTCAAGAAGCGTAGCCGTTGCTGATGCCCTTGTTAAAGCCGAATGGATGTGGCAGAGGGCAGTGTATTCCATGGAGCTTCATTCAGCTCAAATTTCAAAAGAAACTTTAGTTATAAATCTGTTCGAATAGTTCTATAAGTCTTTGAACATCCGCAAAGACCAGGACGACTGTTCTAAATCCACATTCCGATGGGATGGTTGTGACGCTATTGACACAGAACTATCAACCGTTAACTGGCCAAAGTAGTCTCTGACCAAAAAGAGACTGGGACAAATTTCTTCACACTCCAGCCAGCATCGTTATGGGACGGGAAGTGCGCCTACCTTGTGATCTAAAATTTGGTTGCCGACCGGGAGAAGAGCTCGCCAGAGAAGATTATGATCGTACACACTACGTCAAAGAATGGACGACATCCATCAGCGAGCAATTTAAATATTTTAAGTGCTAGTGACCGAATAAAGAAACATTACTATTAATTTCAAAATGAGCATGGAGATACAAACCATTCAAGTTGGTGTGGCTATACAAATCACCTTGACCGTCGTTTTTTATCTGCTATAACTACAATCCTCGTGGGAAGGGTCATACAAAGTCAGGAATAGGATTAATGAGATCGATTTTATCAGAAAATTGCCAAAAGGAAAACCGAGGGTAGTCCATTTCAAGTGTTTGGTGACATACCAAGGCGAAATAGAAGATCGATTCTGGGACCGTGCTTCTACTGCAGCTTTGATTTATTTGATTCGGAGATGTCCATTTCCTTTCTTTATGGCACAGATACAGACGTACTTTTTAGAAGGTTCGGGTTATTGTGTAACGATTCTGAATCAACGAGAACTCTGCAGCATGCGCAAATGAAATAATATATTCTTTGCGGATGTCCAGAGGAATCTAGGAAGACCCTGATTGAACTGAGAGAAGCCCTGCTAAACAACAACATTGCAATATTGGCCATTCGAAGCTGGCGTGTGGACTCGATGGTACAGGGTGGCATACTCATCCGGAACGGATGATTCAAGTCTTGTTCAGATTTACGGGAAAAGATCCTTGTTTTGTTACAACCCAAAGCTGAGATCAGAGCACTTTTTAAAACTATAGACTGCTATTTCTACCAGACTTCCCAAATATACCAGGGGCCAGCTTTGCAAATACCTTTATTCACCGTATACATCTAAGGACGAGCATGTAGAAAAGAAAAGGCAGTGTTGCATACCCGTGGACTCGACTAAAACCTAAGGTTTTGATATTTAACGCCCTCAGATGACCTTAACAATTTTAAATTAAAGAATAGACAGCGTACCTGATTCATTCGTTCGAGTAAGAATAAGTAGTTAAATTAACTATTGTACTTTAAAATCAAATTAAAACTTCACTGGAATGGAGTAGTACATACGAGAACATACGAAACCTTCTCTATGCACATGATTTAACCACCTTTAAAAGCATAAATTTTAAAAGCATGCAGCTCTTTTATTTTAAATGAACACCCAGTATATTATTTCGATATTCAATGGAGAATTCATGTCTCTTCAAAATACTATTAAGGCTGCCTACCCCTCAAAGAAAGATTTTCCTAGATATTTTCATTTATATGCTTTTATTTGAGTTGATATTTATTATTTGCTAAAATCTAGGTGGCTGTGATATGTCTGACATTACTTCAACATAGCTGTCTAATTAGTCCAACTTTAACAACTAGTTATCATTTTGTGTCACTTAAAACAAAAAAAAATTCTCAGAAATTTGCCGCAAATGCAAACTTATCCTACATCAGAGAGAATTGTTATAATTCTATTAGTTGGTGAATGCACATTGCATTCACCAACATTCACCAGAATTAATAGAATACTTAAATGCTCCTGATTTTATCTAGTTTGTTTTTTTATGGGGATATGTTAAAGACAGTGTTTACAAAACTCGTCCAACTATTATCGACAACATGAGAGAAATTATTGTAGCTACTTTTTGAGGTAGAACTCCACATATGCCTTTTAAAATAAAAATATTCTTTTGAAAAGACAATTATTTTATGCAGTTAACAGGAAAGGAAGCATTTTGAGCATTTGATTTCATCTAGCTAATTTTTGCCACATAATTATAGGTTTATATCTAGTTTTAATTCTGTAATAATTAAAATATGTTTTAAACGTGTATCTTTTCTTATTACCGTTGAGTAGTTTACTCTACAATCTTTAATTTTTTTAAATTAACAAAAGGTATATCACACAGCCACCCTAGATTTTTTCAAATAATAAAGATCTATGACGCAAAATCATAAAAATTAAAATATCTAGGAAACTCTTTGTCTGAGGGGTAGGCAACCTTAATAATATTTTGAAGATATATAAATTCCCCATTGAATACCGGAAAAATATACTGGGTTTTCCATTTAAAATAGGAGTAACTTGCTTTTAAAAGTGACTAACGTTCCATTGTATCCACATTCCTGTATAACTTTTCGGGTTATATTTCAATTTGGTTTATCATACAATGGTTATTGTAATTAAATATCAGGCTATATAAAGTCAACTAAAATTTAGGCAGCTATCATCGAAATTTAAAATTTACTCTTCATTTTCACAAAATGTGAAGTTTGGCGGGGCTTTCGTGATTGTAAATGACAGCCAGACGTGTATTTTCTATGAAATTATAGTATTATTTATCATGTGTCAAAATCCTTAGATAAGTATATGCTTCTTTAATAAAACTCACCTTCATTTTTTCCTAGGATCCGAAAAAATTAATACAGGGTGGCGCACCTCATTCGCCTCGGTTGATTATACGAAAACGGAAAGATGTTGAAACAACATATTTTATGGGTGTCGTGCACATTTAAAATTTCTTTTGAAATATACAGGTGTTTACTAAGATCCATACCAAAGTTATATTTTTTCTTAAAACACCCGGTATTTTTCATTTTTTGTATTCCTGATACCAGCATTTATACAACCTACAATATGTTTAATAAAATAATATTTTTTAAATATTTAAAGATATTTAGCCCCAGCATGCTACTATAGAATATATTATTAACACCCTGTACATTACTTTTCAGAATTAATTCTTGTGCTGAATTTAAAGGTAGAGAAATAAACTTTACTGGGAAAATGCTATTGCTTCCTTAAATTTATTTAGGGTATCAAAAATTGCTGATATATTTTAAGGATCCAGTTGGTATACAACCTACAATAGTTTAATAAATAATATTTATTAAATATGTATTTATTATTCTATCAAGAAAAACGAAGAAGTAGTTCGTTGATTTATTTTACGATGACTTGTAGATATATTGATTTTCTATAAAAGAGACAATTACGGCAAATTCACTTTCTTCACTTCCAACGACAGGTTTCTGCCTAACAGGTTTTTTATAAACCACACTACCAGCTCTGCGAAACAGAACAAGTAGTTTTTCAAAGGAACGCTTATCAGGAAGATTCCTATTTTTGGATACCTTTGAGCATAAGCTCTTGAGGCCAAGAAGCAATTTTCCTCACAAAATAAAATCACTACAAACATACCCATTCGTTCTGCCAGCAGATACTGCTTTATTTTTCTTGAAAAAATAATGAATACTTACTTATTATACTACTGTAGGTAAATCTAAGTAAACTGTTATAAATTATAAATAATAATGTCCATAAACTAATGTAGAGTTTGAAAATAGTTACTAACTGTCACTAGAAAATTTCAATATCGACACCAGCCATCTTGATTGCAATTTTATTTAAAAATCGTTTTTTATTCAAAATCTGAGCTAGATAGGTATAGGAAACCCTAATATAGTTTGAAAGAGCATTTGAATCTGCTTCGGTTTATTTAAAAAAATACAGGGTGTTATATTTCAAATAACGAAGTTTTTATATAAAATAAATCCTTAAAATAGATGAGCAATTTTTGATACCCGTGTATAAATTTAAGGAAGCAATGTCATTTTTCAGTAAAGTTTATTTCTTTACCGTTAAACTCAGCACAAGAATTAATTCTGAAAAGTAATGTACAGGGTGTTAATAACCTATTCTATTGTAGCAATGCAAATTTAAATATCTTTAAATATCTCAAAAACTAAAGATTTTAAACATATTTAACCCTTATAATAAATGCCTTTTTTGTGCCCAGAAATCCAAAAATGAAATAAAATACCGGGTGTTCCATAAGAAAAAATTTAACTTTGGTATGGATCTTAGTTCTGAAAGACCCTGTATATTTCAAAATAATTTTAAATTGTGCACATTGCCTCCCCACATATACCCATAAAATATTTTGTTTCTACATCTTTCCGTTTTCGTATAATCAACCGAGGCGAATGAGGTGCGCCACCCTGTATATAGGGTGTTCCATTAGAAAAAACACAACTCTGACGTGTAACTTTTTTGGGGACACCCTGTATAATTCTATATATTTTTATAAAATGCTTTCAGTTAGCCTACATACGCTGCCAAAATTTCATTTCGATATAAACCACCGTTCTCCTTGGAGCTTCGGCGGAGTATTATGAGGCGCCACCCTCTACATCTTTGTTGGAAAGGTGTGCACCCCGTATATGAATATAATTTTTCTTTTTAGGCATTTTTCCAAAGATATCTCTCTTGCCTGTGCTTCCTCTACCTCATTCGCCCAGTAATGGCAAGCTGTACCTAACAAATCTGGCCTTCCCAGTGGAAATATACCACGAAGTGGGTATCAAATACCAGAGTCCATTTGGTTCAAAAAACACAATACCTCTACACCCTAACGAATGAAGATTATTTTCAGTTCTTATCGGTCAGGCAGCTGAAATTCAATTTAAAGCACATTATTTTTTAAGCTTCAAAATGTTCGAATTTTAGCTTATTAAAACAGATAATTTTTTTTCAGATATTTATATTTCTATGTACTTTATATATCTACAGAAACGACGACAAATAGAATTGTGATAAATATTTTCATTATCAATAAAATGAGGATTAAATAATTTCTTGTGTTGTTATTTTTTATAGCTCTTTAAATAGATTCAAATGCACAAAAACGCAACAGAATTTTTTTCGTCAAGTTTAAGGTGGTATATTTTTTTTTTATTTTAATGATTTTTTTTAGCAAACTGTATACAGGGTGGTCCGAACTGTATTCCGTAAACTTCGGCAGCAGATTCTGCAGAGAAAAATAAGTAAAAAACTCCGTATAACTGTTTGTCCTAAATTGCTTAGTTTCCGAGATACAAGGTGTTGAAGTTTCATTTTTATTTCAATTTTTTCAAAATAATTTCTGAAGAAACGTCAATATTTCAAATATTTGGATGAAAATTGGCTTCTGGGAGTTTTTTGATATGAGAAATATGATGTTGATGTCAATATGACTGCTATTTGTAGGGGGCGCCACCTACATGTGCTTTAACTGTTTTGAAGAGTAATAAAATTTTGTCCGTTCATGTATAAAACTACTGAGTGGAACATACATTTCCATGACTTTTTTACGTAAAAAACGTCTATTGATAAAAATCGCTACGAACAACCGTTCTCAAGATATTTAGAATGGAAATAGTCAATACATGTCATTATTACAAAAAATAAACTTGTTGAGTTAGGTTAGGACTGAAATTTGACTGAAATGGTAATTTTGGGAACTTTTTATTCTTTTAAATTTAATCATATAAACTTTTCATCGAAAAAATTATGATAAAAGAGTTTCTGTTGAACTTTTGACACAAAATCATTTAAAATTTATGGTTTAATTTATGTCAATGATGACAGGTATTGATAATTTCGATTCCAAATATATCGAGAATCATTACTCGGTAGCGATTTTTATCAAGAGAACTTTTCCTAGTAGAGTAGTCGATAAAAGTAAGTTTCTAGTAAAGTAAATGTCGTAAATATTTATTTTTTCAGTCAGTAGTTTTATACGGGTACTGACGAAAAGTTATTACTCTTCAAACCGGTTAAAAATATGCAGGTGGCGCCCTCTACAAGTAGGTGTCATATTGATATCAAAATCAAATTTCTCATGTAAAAAAACTCCCAAACACTAATTTTTATCTAAATATTGACGTTACTTCAGAAATTATTTGGAAAAAATCGAAATAAAAATTAAACTTTTACACCATGTCTCTCCGAAACTAGGCATTTTAGGACATACAATTATATGAACTTTTTTACTTACTTTTATCAGCAGAATATTCTGTCGAAGTTTCCGGAATACAGTTCGGACCACCCTGTATAATTTTATCAACTTTAAATCATAAACTCAATTTTTTATAAACTCTTGTATTTGGTTATTATACAGGGTTAATTGAAGGGTTGTTTTTTACCTTAACTTAACCCCTTTTAACCCTCCCTCTCACTCATGCCCACTTGCACCGTTTGTATAAACTTTGTTTAAAGGCTAAACAGTGATTAACTATAGAGGGTGGCCCATCGAAAACGTTCCGCAAGGCATAACGGCCAGGGTATATTTTTTTTCAAAAAATCCAAAAACACGTCAATTTTGTTTGTGAGGGGGACAACTTTTGACGCAAAAATGATTGCAAAATCTTTAACCCTCTAAGCGGGGGTGTCATCCCCCAACTTTTTTCAAATGGGAAGGGGAGTCGAGTGGCGCCGCAATGAAAAGGGCTTTCTATTTTCTATATTTTCCCGCTTCGTTTTTAAAAATCGGTCGAGTCATTTTGAAAATATGAAGGATTGTAATTTGAAAAGTACTTTTGCAAAAAAACGCATAAATTGAATTAACTAAAAAAACTTACCTTATTAATGAAGCAAATGCTGAAAATGTTGCCCGTCAACCTCCATACAGTAATACAAATTATTTTCAAACCGTTCTCGAACATTCTGAAGAACTTGCGGGGTCACTTCGCGACCAACATCAATAATTCGTCTTCGCAGGTTAATGAGGCGGGTTAGGTTACTAGTGCTATACACTTTACTTTTTATGTGTCCCCATAGAAAAAAAGTCTAAAGGAGTCAAGTCGGGTGACCGGGGAGGCCACTCAATTACACCCCTTCGTCCTATCCACCGACCGGGAAAGTTATTATTTAAATAATTACGCACATTTTGAGAGTGATGTGGAGGTGCACCGTCTTGATGAAATATTAGTTCGGTTTCAACGTATCCAGAATTGTTCTCTGTGATGTCAGTTAGGGCTGGGTCGATGGTATTTTCCAGTAAATCCAAGTACATATCACCTGTTAGATTTCTAGGAAGAAAAAAAAGAACCCACAATAGAATTTCCAAAAATACCAGCCCACACGTTCAATTTCTGAGGGTTTTGTGTGTGCACCTCGTGAGAAACCCTGGGGTTGTCCTCAGCCCTGTACCGACAGTTGTGCCGATTAACTACACCGTTCAAAAAGAAAGTACACTCATCCGAAAAACACACATTAAATAGGAAATTATTATCATTGGCCACTCGTTCACTCATAGTTTCGAAAAATTGCAAGCGACGGTCAAAATCGTCTTCGTTGAGTTCTTGTACCAACTGAATTTTGTACGGGTGGAACTTATTTCCACTTTTTCTGCAGTTGAGTACATCATAATTGTTAAAAAGTTTAACAATATTGAGAAGAACTTCAACGCACAAGTCACAGAACAGCTATCTAGCAACTACCGCACCTGATCGTCCAACCTTGTGGCAAGTGAAAAAATGCGTATAAACATCTAGAAATAATAAGAAAAAACAGCAAATTGGACGAAGGAATTTATCCCTATCATTTACTCTGATAAATGGTTAAATAAGCTTTTCAAATTTCAATCCTTCATATTTTCTCAATGACTCTATCGATTTTCAAAAACGAAGCGGGAAAGAATAGAGAATAGAAAGCCCTTTTCATTGCGGTACCACTTGACCCCCCTTCCCATTTGAAAAAAAACTGGGGGATGACACCCCCGCTTAGAGGGTTGAAGATTTTGCAATCATTTTTGGGACAAAAGTTGTCCCCCTCGCAAACAAAATCGACGTGTTTTTGAATTTTTTGAAAAAAAATTACTCTGGCTGTTATGCCTTGCGGAACGTTTTCGATGGGCCACCCTGTATGATATTTTATTATAGTTAATCACTGTTTATCCTTTAAACAAAGTTTATACAAACGGTGCAAGTGGGCATATCATTCTACATTCTACATTCTACAACCCTGTATAATAAGTCAAATACTAATGTTTATAATAAGTCAAATATTAATGTTTATAATAAGTCAAATACTAATGTTTATAATAAGTCAAATACTAATTAAAGTTGATTTATTTATTTACAGTTTGCTAAAAAATCATGGAAATAGAGCTAAAAATAAAAAAAAATTACATTTTAAACCTGACCAAAAATTTTTCGGTTGCGTTTTTCTGAGTGTATTTTCAGGGCATTTTAGTTCATATACCATTATTTTTATACATTTCTCCTCTATAAAGTTAATGACAACATTATTGTTAGTCCTTTCAAAGGGGATTGTAAGGCCTTATTCTTATTTCCATTGTTCGCATATAATATAGGGTGAGTCTTAAATAAGTGCAAACATTTTTTTAAATTTCTTGAAAATCCACACAAGATCCAGTGGTTCTCAAAATTTTAGCAATTTTTTTTTAATTTTTAATATAATAACCGATTTGCTTTACTCGGTTATTTTGAATTTATTTGAAAAACGTTTTATTTATGGATATCAGCCCTGAAAAAAACTTATTTAAGAGTCACCCTGTATATGTTGAATTTTTTCTTTAATAAAAACATTGTAAATTAAAAAAAAAACAAAAATTATTGTGCTAATAAATATTTATTTCCTAATAGATTATTTAAGTATATACATATTACAAAATTTTAATAATATTAGGACATTTTAGTATCACTGAAAATTTCTTTTATCAAAAGCATTTATTCATAAATTATTTAAAGGATAAGAAAAATACCGAAATACATTAAAATAACCACTAGCATAGCGCAACAAATATATTCTAGAGAATTTAAACCTATTGCCTATCTAATGCACAGTCAATATATATATTTTTTGAGCATTGGATGTATTCTGCCCTTTTGTGCAATACACATTCCCAATTAATCTTTCTTGGTGGATATTTTATACTAGGTTGTTCGTACTTTTAGATATTTTTAGATAAGTTTTTATCGCTCCCTAGTACCACATATTTTTTTTAATTGTTATACGCAATTCTCGTGAGCTTTAAGTTTGTTTATCGATTTTCGTTTAGTAATGAAGATCGATAATCAAATTTAATCGGAATCTCCTGCATCCATCTCTTCGGCTTCTAGGCTCGTTTCTAGGCTACCCTAGTCAATTTAAGGCAATCTAAATCTTATACAAATATATGCTTCAACTACAGATGCAGAAGATGGAGAGACAGAGAAGGGTTTTATACCTCACTAGAAACAGTATTTTCACGAATTTCATCTAAAGAAGTTACAATCAGTATGGAATATTTTAATGCAAAAAAACAGTTCTTCCTGGATAATATAATTATTTATCTATAATATTTATCTGTAACTCACTTTTTCAACAACAAAAACGCCGCCTTTATACCTGGAGATCTCCAAATGGAATATACAGGGTGAGTCTTAAATACATAAGTGTAAATATTTTCAGGGCTGGCAGATCTCGATAAAAGAAAATATTTTCTCTTTACCATTTTTCAAATAAGTCCCAAATAACCCAGTTATTTAAGTTTAAAATTTAAAAAAAAAAGATTTTTTTTAAATTTTGAGAGCCACCGGATTTTTTCTGTATTGCATCCCTTTTATTGCCGTAACCATAGAGTAAAGCCGTAACTATGGTAATATCAGAGATTAAGAAATTACACGGTGGGGAAATTTGCGGTGAACAGGCATGTACAGATCTAAAAAGTTTTCTTAAAATATACTGGGAAATTTAAAAAAAAATGCACTATTTTCAACATCTTTTTTAGCGAAAAAAACCTCATAGACGTGTTCCTGGGGTCCAAATATACCACCCCTGAAAATATTTGCACTTATTTAAGACTCACCCTGTATAAAAATCAAATTGACTACATTTTTATTAAGAGCCGTTGTAAGAGTTCAATTCAGTCAACTAAAACCACCCAGAGCTGATTGTCGATCCACCAACTTCTATAATCAACCTTACCTGGAGAGTATCCCGTCTCGTACCATGATGATGCTGCCGTCTCGTGCCATGCTAGAGTGACAAACACCTAGGGTTTTCGGGAAAGACTAGATGATGAACTAAATAACCAATAATCAGTTTATTGGCAACATACAATCCTCTACAAATAGATGAGAAAATTTTAAGAACGTAACGCTAAATAACATAAAGGAAACCTAACCAAGGGCAGAGCGCAATAAACAACATTGGATCTCAGAAAATGCCTTACTACTTATCGAAGAAAGGTGCAAACTGAAAGCAAAAGCTCTAAAGAATCATAAAGATCCCGGATCTTTTAACCTCCTCTCTAGAGCTATTCAAAAAGAATGTCGTAGAGTTTAAATAATTTTTATGATAGCATTTGTTCCGAAATACAAATACATGCAAACACCTCAGAAACAACAGGTTTGTTCTCCAAAATAAAACAAATAACGGGTAAGTTTGCGCCCAGAACATGGGTAATTCACGATGTGGACACACAACTTTTGACAGAAATTGAAAAAGTTATCGAGATATGGAGGAGATACTGCGAAGCGACTGTATAGCGAAGCGACCTATGTGCCACCCGTCCAAAACACGATAACAGAGGAACCAAACATTCTACTCTAAAGCAGAAGCAGCTATTGGAAAACTCGGCCAACAAAAATGTCCAGATATGACCCCATCACTGGCGTAATGGCCTCTCTACACTTGCCAAAATGCATGTGCCAATACGCTGGCCAATGCCTTGGGCCAATCGACTATCGGTCATACTGGCAGCATTGGTCGAGTTGGCCCAAGCATTGGCCACCGATCCGTCTGTTGTCGTTTTTTCAAGACACATCAAAGGGATGAGTTGGTGTTGGCGCATGCAAATACGTCCACATGTCTGCACTGGTCGGTGATATTTTGCTGTGTGTATACAGGGTGTCCCAATATTCCCAGGACAGAGAACTACTATTTATTTTTGGAGTCAAAATAAGTTCATTGGACACAAGGCAGGCGGCCATTCCGAGCGAAACTAAACCTAATCTAAGAATATACCTAGAAAGAAACGGTAACTAAACGAAAAAGGTTCATCGGCCACTATAGGAACGATTTTTGCTTGGTAGTCAGCTAAGTTAGCTGCGTTTTTGTATTGTGGCTCTGCTATGATAGAACTAATCGCTGCGAAAAATTCGCTGGGACCTGTCACGAACTAAAACGAGCGAAACTAAACTAAGCTAAGAATATAGAAAGAAACAGTAACTAAACGAAAATAAGTTTCATCGGCCACTGGGAACGATTTTTGCTTAGTAGTCAGCTAAGTTAGCTGCTTTTGCGTATTGTATCTCTGCTATCAGAGAATTAATCACTGCGAAAAATTCGCTGGAACCTGTCACGAACTAAAACGAGCGAAACTAAACTACGATTTAAATCTTCGTTCATATATTTTCGTTTAGTTTCACTCAAGTGGCCGCTGATGCATTTAAAAGTATGGGAGCTGATTTTTACAAATCTTATATGCCCTTGGCTTAGTTTAGTTTTGTTCGCAGTGGCCGCCCGCCTTTAACCTCTATAGAAAAGTGCTTCGTTTGGCCGTTAAAGGACATCAAGATTTAAAAAAATGAACATATTTTTTAAGAACCGATATTCCGATTTGAACTAGATGGTGTTTCTATGTTTTGCTAAATGCTTTAACATTTTACCATCACAAAAAATGAGAAAAAGTACGGGAAGGGTGTGAACTACCCCCACCTCTAATCAATAATAATCATAATCTATAATTTTAATAAAAATATTTTACCATTTTACCGACCACTCTTTTTCTTCCTTCTTTCTTCCTTAAACTTCCTCCTTTCTTCCTTAAACTTCCTAGTATTTACTACATTTTCTCTTGTAAAGTTTTGTCTCTTTGTCACTTCGTACAGTTTTGAGAAAAAAAAATTGGATTTTTTTCCAAAGCAGACCTACAAGATATACAGGAAGTCTCAATATTCCGCGGACATAGAACAAATACGTATTTTTACATACGTATGTTTCCCCCTAGACAAAAATGCCTCGTTTATCCGTTAGAGGGCAACAATAAAAAAATAAACCCATACATTAATTAATTTAAAATTTATGAAGCTTATTGTCAGATATCATTTGTGAAACTAATATTAAATTTCATATTTTTGCCAAATAGATTATTACCACATACTAGATTTTATGCGCCCTGATAGAGAAAATAACGTCAACGGTTTTAAATAACCTTTATTTTAAAGATTTATTTTTCGTTGGCAAATACCCAGGCTTATTTCAAAACATGTTTTTTTTTTCATACTATGAAATCTTTTATCTGAGTGTAAAATTTATAAACCCCTCGTCCTCCATATAATATTCCTGATTACTATATATGATTACTACGAGTTTAAACATTCAAAATGATATTTTTTTCTCACTTAAAATAACTTACGTCTAAGAATAAATAATATATATAACATAAATAAATAAATAAATATGTTTATTTCCTTTAGGACGCCCAAGCTCGCTATCTTCATTATATACAAATACGTATCTAGAAAAAAAACTAATGATATAGCATCATGATGTGATGTGTGTAATTATTTGGAAAAAATAAATTTGGAGACCTTATTATTTACATTAGTATATATGTTACCTGTTACAGACCATACATGTAAAACAGCCCATATACAAAAGGACTAGCCCATATGTAAATGAACACTCAGATTCGTATTGTACTAAAAAAAATAACCCCCCTATGTGTCGACGAAAAGAAAAATCAGGAGATGAAAACTGTTTGGAAATGACTGAGGATTTTGAAAATAATTTTTATTCTAAGAGTAGTCAGTGGCGTGCCATTTTTTCTTTCAAAAATATTCAATGTAATAACCATAGGGCCGCTACTAGATGAAGTAAATGAAATTGTACATCAAAATAGGCATTTTGATGCGTAGAAAACGCGTATCATGTTTCATAAAGAGATCTATCTTTGAATAGGTCCAGGAAACAACCCCTTAAATGTTAGTTAGGTTTAAAACACCATGTCACTAAGGAACACCCTGTATATACGGTCTGTTATCGCATATGGTCTATAACATATACAAGACGTCTCATAGTATCCCTATTCCTAAGAAATACCGTATGATCGAAAAAAAAACGGCGTCCAGTTGGCTGGGAAATGACGATCGATGACATTTCCTATAAATTTACATATAAAAAGAGAGCAATCTTCATCTCATAGCCATCGCTGACGTCGTTTTTTTTTCGATCATACGGTACTTCATTTTCTTACAATGCAAACAGCCTGATATACTGTTCGTCCTATCAATTATAATTATATTAAAATTGATATTCATTTTATTTAAGTAGCAAGTAGCAATATATGAGTTTGATGCTGTATTTATTTAATGCTCTTGACTTTAACAAGACTACTACACTTCTATCGAGATTTTAAATATTCACATTCATTCTCTTTATATCAGTATATCACAATTCAGAGTTTGTTTTAAATGACACCCTAAAGTCAACATTTTATTATTTGTTGTAAATTAGTTGATTAGTAACTTAGGCAATAATGAAAAAATGGACAAGTAGAAAATTTTTTAAATTGATTAGTAAGTTGTCGAGCGAGAGAAAGGACGATTTCGACAGAGGACATCCAAAAAATGACAGAAAATACCTTAAACATCTATCTACTTGTGAATAAAAATGACAACCGCCATATTCTCTCGTTGGGCAGACTGTAGGTACATTTAAACGATACCCTTCTTAGATACATCAATTTTTGTCATTAATGACACCCTGTTTATACAGGGTGAGTCTTAAATAAGTGCAAATATTTTCAGGGCTGGTAGATCTGGGTAAAAGAAACATAGTTCCTCTTTACCGTTTTTCAAATAAGTGCAAAACTGAGTTATTTTACTTTGAAAATTTCCAAAAAAATATTTTTCGCTTAAATTTTGAGAACCACACGGGATCTTTTCTGGGGTTTCTTTCTTGTAAATTTAATCTACTACGTATGTTGCCATATTCAAGAAATTGTGTTTTTTAACTAAAAACTAAAAAAAAATCCAAAAAATGAGTCAAAAATTTCAATTTTTTGACTAATTAACACATCATAATTGTGTTGAGTTCTGGGGACGAAATATACTACCCCTGAAAATATTTGCACTTATTTAAGACTCACCCTGTATTTTAATTTACATTTCTAGTTATTTATAGGTATAGTTTTAGCTGCAGATTTCAAGTTTTTTTATTCTACATTTATTTTATTAAGCAACTATCTGTGTTACTTAATAAAATAATACTACAAATCTACTTTCAACAGAAAAAAAATTCAAAACTAATTGAAAATATAATTCAAATTATTTTCTGATTGCTTTCGAACTAGTTTTTCATTTGTATTGTTTTTCCTCCCTTTTTGTCACATTCATTTTACAATGGATGCACAGACAAAGCCTACTATTCAACTTCTATTTTCTCATCTTTTTCTTCACTATCATCATCAACCTTTCCACAATCATCTGTAGTGACTATAACACCGACAGGTTGGTGAAAACTCACACAACCCATGGGACTAGGTAGTTTAACTTTTCTAGAAGGCTTCTTTAACAACTCTTCTATAGAATACGGATTCTTCTTTGGTTGGTTCTTGACCTCTTGGTCTTCTACACTAGTGTCTTTCTGTCCCTTTTCATTATAATTCGGTGAATTATCTCTTTCGAACACTTGGGGTCTGTATGGGACTATCAGGTTGTTAAAACTGGACCAGGATGGACTTTCTAGAGTGTGAGTGGTAGTTACTACGTGGAGTTGTTGGTGAAGTGATGTTAACCGAGTAACTTGGGGGTAAGATGAAGTCTCGTGCAGAGTTGGAAAATACGAGATCGTCGGGTTTAGTGTTGTGGAGGTGTGTTTAGTATAGGGATCCGATCTGAGAGTAGCATCTGAAACAGGAAAAGTGTGTTTTAGTTGGAAAAATAGACGTATATAAATAGAGATAATATGTACAGGCGGGTGTCCCATTTTAGTTGAAATCTTACGGTATCTCCGTTATTACTAAAGATATATACTTATACTATTATTATTAGATTAAGCATCTTGCTCAAAATATACCGGATGCGTCTCAAAAGTGGCTCACCCCTATAACTTTTTTATTTTTTCAGATAAATTAACGAGATTTGGTATGTTAGTATATGACATAAATTAGGATTAATTGACGTATTCAATTGTTTTCAGTCACTTCTTGTTTCACCGGAAATGACTACAACTTTTGATTTTTAAATAGCATCATCGGTATTATTTACTTTACTTGATAGGAAATGACACTTTGAATAGAATGACATGATACGCTTCAAAAAACATTGTAGTTTAAATTTCAATCTATAGAGTGCCATGGCTGTGTTAAAAACACTAATTTTTAATAAAGGAGCCTTGGAAAAATAAATTCGATAGTCTAATGTTTTCAGTGTCTCGTCCTGGTGGGTTAAAAGATGTCCAAATCGTATTCTTAATCCTATCTCAATGTTTTCAAATGAAACGAGGGTAGCTCATTTCTGCGAATAATTTGGTACCACACACTTGGTATTTGGAGTCAAATTGTTGTTATGAACCACACATGTTACAATTTTAAATAAACCATGTGCGAAAATGTCAAAATTTGGCATATGATATGTCATTCTATTCAGAGTGTCATTTTCTATCGAATAAAGTAAAAAAAAAATACCGAGGGTGCCATTAAAAATCAATAGTTGTAGTCATTTCCGGTGAAACAGAAAGTGCCCAAAAACAATTGAATACGTGAATGAATCCTAATTTATGTCATATATTATTATATCAAAACTCGTTTTTTATCTGCAAAATTAAAAAAGTTATATGGGTAAGCCACTTTTGAGACGCACCCGGTATTTCACGTAAATTAGTTAAAAGAATATCTAAAAGTTCCAGTAACTTAGATTTACGAATAGCGGTAGAGAGTTAAATTTCCCTGATTTATAAAAAAATTACTAGTGGCTCCCATGCAAAAAAAACAAGAGACAGATAGTACATATACTTTTAATAATTCCTTAGTTCCTTTTTTATCAATCATGGCCTACTAATAAATATGATCTTTTATTAAAAACTTTTAAATATGGCAGTAAATAGTGAAAATAAATATAGAGTGATATACTGGGTTGTTCACCACATACGACACGGAGTATTGTAGCTAAATGGTTAGATTTTTAAAAATTCTAAGTTTTGGGTTCGTTGAAGGAGTATTAGAGCTATAATTTAAAAATATTTTTACAAGAGACAGAGTGTCCCAAATAAATAAAAAAATATTAAAGTTGTATTTTTTAATTGGAACACCCTGTATTTTATTACATTTTTAGTTTCTACGATTAAAATAAAGGTAAATTTGATTAAGGTTTATTACACTTAAACCTTACCGTTTTTGAAATATTTTCAATTTTGTGAAATTGTAGTAAAATTTTAAGGCTCCTTTTCTCCAAGGGTATCAAAGTTTTTAATACTAAATATTCACTGAAGTTTATTTATTGATCAGTTATTGTGTTACAATAATAAAAATAATACTATTTCATACAGAGTGTCTAAAAATTTATTTTAAATAATTTCTAGCTTTAAACGGCAATAATTTGTTTAATTTAAATGGAACGCTCTGTATATTTTAGGAAAATCAGATGCACAATTTAATTGTCTATCAAATTGTATTATGCCACTTTTTACCTATCCCTTCAAGTTTTCGTAGAAAATGCATTTTCTTATAATTTAGACTTCATTTATCAATATACCCGTGGAATATTGTCATTTTAGATTGTTTGTTGTATTCAATTTAAAAAATTACAACTTTGATATTTTTCATTTATTTGGGACACTCTGTATCTTTTAAAAATATTTTTAAATTGTAGCTCTAATAGTCCTTCAATAAACCCAAAACTTACAATTTGTAAAAATCTAATCGTTTAGCTACAATACTCCGTGTCGTATGTGGTGGACAACCCTGTATATTTTTGAGAAGCTTATGGTAAGCCAGATCAAATAATTTATAAATATACAGGATATTCAATTTAAAAAAATCATAACTTTAGTTCATATCTTTAAAAATATAATTTTCTTAGAATAGCAGGCTGTGCCGCCGTATTCTACGTAAAAAGTTCTACAATAAACAGCTTTTACGAATGTTAAGATACTGTTAACAATAACAGAGATACGGGGGATTGGGTTAGAAAATTGCAAAATTTTCAAAAAGACCCTGTAGCTCGGAAACGAAGAGGGCTATGAAAATTTTGTTTACGGCGTCTTCCGTTTGACAAAAAAGTGGGACCGGTTTGTGCAAACCGCACCCTTCTATCTTTAATAACGGAGATACCGTATGATTTCAACCAAAATGGGACACCCTGTATAGATATATGTATAATATGGAGGGGGTCAGTTTTATGTAAATAAAATAACATTGTGCCACAAGTTCTTCATTAGATATGCAGCGTCCTCCAAAAAAAAACATATCTTAAACGAGCTTCTTATTGTTAGAAAATATTATGCTATTGTTTTTTACGTAGAGAATAATTATAATTTCTGTTAATTAATAAATAAGATCAAATATTTATGACACGCGTTTCTATACTAAAGACTCACGGGGTTCGTAATATAATATAAACATTAAATTTTACAGCTCATCCTGTTTATTTTCCGATATTTTCTTACCTGATCCCTGGTTGTGTTGCCTGGCGTGTCCCACTCCTGTTTCCTGGTGATCGGGCCAAACGCCGCTGTTCCTCAAAATCCTGTTCACCGAACTGACTGAGGGGATGTTGTGCGGCTCGCACACACGTTGGGCTATCAGCTGTTCCCGGATTTCCCATGCGAACATTCCCGGATTTTCCTGCTTGAATCGCAGGATTTTCTTTACTACTGTAGGTGTAGCGACTTGCTGCGAAAAAGAAAATACTTTAAATGTATTTTTAATATTATTTTTGCTAGAAAGCAAAGCTTTTATATTAAATACAATAAAATATAGAGCAGACTACTACAACAGACGATATAGAAGGGGTGTGAGGAATTATTTCGAAAATAATTTGGTTAATCGATTTTGTTTATTTGGTAATTTGTTGTAGTGCTGAATGTGTACTTTACAAAACCGTATCGTTTTTAAAATTGATACTTTTTGTTCCAGAAATATTTGTTGTTAAATGTTTCAGAAAACAGAAAAAACATATGTCTTTTCTAGATTTTCCCAAATAACTCGAGATCTGTTAGAGATATCGGAAAACGGTTTGCGAGAGTCAATTCTACATAAAATGAACTATCAGTAAGAATATTTAAGTTGCGACCGGTTAAAAGAGACAAAAGTTGTGGAGAAAACTACAGTGTCTTGATTAGTTTCCGATTTATGTCATAAAAATTAAAATAATACTACTATATCCTCAAATAATACTACTATATCCGCAAAACTATTATATGCATTGCAACGTAAGTTGGTCGTTTTATATTTTTGTTTATAATTTTTTTTTATAATCGACCAATTAAACCGTTTTTAATAAAATTGGCCATGCAGTTTTTAGAATTTTTCTAACCTTTCTATATAGATTTCGCATATGGTGGGGTTGCTAGTCCTCCATCGAGCGCCTCCCCAGGTGGCGGATAGGGGAACGCCTCCCAGATATGGGTGGTACCGGAGAAATGAAATATCCGGGGCGGACCAAAACTAGCATGCCATAGAGAAGCAGCTGTGTCATTACTGGGTCGAAGCTATCGAAGAAACTTCAATCAAGGTTCGATGCCAGAAAATCGTAAGCGGAGCTGTAGCAGCAGAATGGTTACGACACTGCGATGCAGAAGGGCAGGGGAATCCACTGCATTAATCTCCCAAGAAAGTCATGCGTGATGTCATTTAACATAGAGCCTCGGATGCTGTCACGCAGTCCGGGTGACGACTGGCGCTTCTGCGATTCCGGGTCGCAAAGTGAAAAGTCAGCTACCGGCCTCATGATTGTGAAATTGTGAATGATCAGGCATGGTGTGGAAAATTAGCTACTGGTCATCAGAAACTCCAGATGAGAAACATTGGTACGTGGAATGTGCGGGGCTTGAAGACAATAACGGGTAAACTAGCAATCATCAAAAGCGAGTTGTCAAGGTACAGAATCGAAATTGCGGGACTGGCGGAAACACACTGGCTAGGGTAGGGCTACTTCAAAACCTCTAATGGAAATTATGTCTATTTCTCTGGCAATGACAAACAAACATTCACAGGCGTAGCCATTTTGATATCAGCCAGAATCCATAAATCCGTCATAGAATTTAGAGCTGTAAACGACAGAATAGTTCTCCTTAGACTAGACGGCAAACCTCATAAATTCAACATCATTCAAATATATGCACCGACAGCAACGGCAGAGAACAATGAAATCGAAGAATTCTACAATAAATTAGAACTTACCATCAGGAATATACCAAACAAAGAACTGACATTAATTTGCGGCGACTTTAACGCAAAAGTTGGGAACATTAAAATGAATGATGATCTAAAAAATATCCTTGGAAAATACAGCTTGGGAGAGAGGAATGAAAGAGGAGACCGTTTAATCGAATTTGCCATCAATAACAGCTATTCTATAATGAACACTAGATTTAAACACCACATTCCCAGACTCTATACTTGGAGAAGCCCTGGAGACAGAACACGGAATCAAATAGACTACATATTGACCAACACCCGCTGGAAATCCTCCATTCAAACAGCACGTACATTACCAGGGGCAATATGTGGATCAGACCATCAGCTCCTATTTGCCATAATAAAACTTAAACTCAAAACACCCTTCAACACCAACAAGATTAATAAAAAGAAACAGCGAAGAAATTCTCCAAGGAACCCAGGCTTTCCTGACTATCTCAACAGAAAATACAACAGCCCAAGAAATATGGGAAGCTGTCAAAAAATTGACAACAACTGCAACAGGGTCAGAAAAAGAAGATCAACCGATAAAACGAAAACACTGGTTATCGAACGAGACATTCCAGATCATCGAAGACTTCCACCGGAAAGGCATACACACAGAAGAAGAGAAAGAAGAACTAAAATACCTGAATAAGGCAATAAAGCAAGGAGCAAGAAGAGACAAACAACAATTTTACTCTGATATATGCAAAGAAATCGAGGGACACAGTCTAAATAACCAACCAAGAGACCTCTTCAAAAAAATAAAATATATTACCAGGGACTTTAAAGCCAGAAATTGGGCAATCGAAGATCAAAATGGAACTTTAAGAACCAAAAAAGAAGACATTATTGAGGTGTCGAGATCATATTGCGAAGATTTATACAAAGACAGTGAAGAATATAACTATGTCGACCACCACGAAAATTCAGAGAAAGAACCGGACATCCTTAGAAGTGAAGTTGAATTGGCCATAAACAAATTAAAATACCATAAAGCACCAGGTTCAGACTTAATGACAGCAGAAATAATAAAAGCCGTTAATAATTAAAGCCGAACCTGGATTAGAAATGCTTCATCTGATCTGTAATAAAATATGGCACACAGGAGAATGGCCCGACGACTGGACACACTCCACCATTGTCACTCTCCACAAGAAAGGGAGCATACATAAGTGCAGCAACTATCGTACAATTTCCCTCATCTCACATGCCAGTAAAGTAATGTTGCAAATTATAAATGAAAGACTGAAAGCTTTTCTAGAAAGAGAAATTCCAGCAGAACAAGCAGGTTTCACCAAGGGCAGAGGCACTCGGGAACATCTTCTGAATATGCGCCTAATCATAGAGAAAGCAAGGGAATTCAACATCTCTCTTTATATTTGTATCGTAGACTATAAAACAGCTTTCGATAAAGTCAGATGGCATCACCTGTGGAAAATCTTAAAGGAAGTGGGGGTACCGCAACACCTTATTTCACTTATCATTCAGTTGTATCAGCACATTACAGGATCAGTTAGAATACTGGATTCAGCTTCAAAGGAATTTTCCCTCGAACAAGGAGTCAGACAGGGGTGTATATTGTCTCCTCAACTATTTAACATATACGGAGAATACATAATGAGAAGGTCGCTAGAAACATGGGTAGGAGGCATTTCAATAAATGGCCAAAAAATAAAAAATCTACGCTTTGCAGATGATACAGCACTACTCGCTAACAGTCATAAAGAGTTAATCAATTTAGTAAATAGAGTAGAAAACGAAAGCAATCGGCTCGGTTTGGAACTAAATACGTAAAAAAACTAAATCATGATAGTTGATCGGCAACATAACAACCATCCAAATATAAGTCATATCGACCGTTTTGAAGTCGTTAAGTCATACGTATACCTGGGATCACTATTGACAAATACAGGCACATCGGAAGAAGAGGTGAAGCGTAGGTGCAACATGGCAAAGGTAGCTGTTGGGAGACTGACCAAGATCTGGAAAGACCGCCAGATTTCAAGAGCCACCAAAAACCGGCTAGTCAACTGTTTGGTACTCTCCAATATTGGCGTCCAGTTGGCTTGGAAATGACGATCGATGACATTCCCTATATATAATTTTACATACATATAATATGACAGCGTTCTTCATTTCATAACCATCGCTGACGCCGTTTTTTCGATCGTACTGTGCAAGTTTTTTTGAGCTTGGAAACACAGTATTGTGTTTTGCTCAAAAAAACAGTATTGTGTTTCGACCGTATTGTGCAAATTGGAGACTTTGAGCCAAGCTCATATAAATTGTTTTTTTATATATAAATTTATCATATAAATTGTGTAATACTGTCATGTAATAAAATGATGGATTTAATTTGATTTAAACATTATGATCATAAATTTAGAGCATTTTCAAATAAAAGTTCGTTTTCAAAAAAAAACGTTTTTTTAATTAATTATTTTATTAATTAAAAACACAATACACATCCTTTCAACAAAAATCTTTCTAATACGAAGTCATCGTAATCTCATATTATGTATTTGCAAACGGTTCAGCCGAATCACCTAAAAAAATGGTAGCTTAAACTGTTTCATACGATAAGAGTCAGCGACGTGACACTTACAACGCCCTCTAACGTCGGTCCATTGTACTCGACGCGTGTCTCTTGTCCGTTAACCGCCTGTTTATATGGTGTCACAGTTGAAACTGGACAACAACCCCTCTTCAGTATGAGAAACGGGGTTAGAAAATCAGGGTTGGTTACACTGGCTACACAGCAAATTAATAATGTATTACACGATTTTTCAACTATTTATAGTTTTCAATTTTCCATTTAAATTTCAACTGACATACACATAGGTCTAAAATCTCTACAGGGTGGCCGACCGCACAGAAAAAGAGTTCCATATGAGGTTTTGTGTTTCAGATTTCCACTTTCCATATTTTGTAAATATGCAGGCAATGGTAGCGCACGTTTTAAAAATAATGAATTTACAGGAGCGATTCAAATAATTTTTTACACCAAACTTGTAGTTGTTTCTTCAATGGAATACTTATATATGTATACTTGTTTGTTTAGAAGATTTATCATTAGTTACGTTAGTGTAAAATTTATTATTTCATTTGGTTTGTCTTATTATTATTTAATTTTTTATGAAAAGCTGTTAAAAAAAAGACGAGTTTAGATAGATTTAATTTTCTTTTTTTAAATTCTTCTTCTTCTTTAAATTCTTTAAAAAGTAAAATATCTAGGTTATTTTGGTCTTATTTGAATAAACGGTAAAGAGAAAATATGTTTATTTTATAAAGATTTAGTACCAGCCCTGGAAATATTTGCACTTATTTAAGACTCACCCTGTATAATGAGATATAAACCACAACCCATCCCTTACTTGATGAGCCACTGTTATCTATTCTCCTCATCGTCGTAATACCTAGATAGCCCAAAAATAATTTTCAATTATCTGTGTCACACGAAATAACCTTACTAACCCCTATTTTTTCTA